CGAATTCCTTTGACAGCCTGAAAGACGTCGACCATCTGTTCTTGCTTCACTCGTTCGATGATCGAGTTTATGGCGCAAAATGTACCACTTCGACCAATTCCATTACTGGAGGTAGCAAGAAATGCAGTTATAAATAACAAGTCATCGAGGCATTTCCATTTTTGATGGATAATAACTTCTATCAAAACCACCCACCTGCACTGAACTACGATCGGTGAATGACCGGACTGCGCATGTCTTTGTGATTGTTCTACTTCGTTTATCAATGCCAACACACTTTGTGAATTCGAAGGGACACGTTTGTCCTTCCAGTTTGGCATTTGTATATGTAGAACTTGAAATGTGCTCTGAAAAAAAGTTTCAAATACAAGGAGAAAGACATATAAATTGTTGTTATTTAAATTAGCAAGAGAAAACTGTCTATCAGGGATGCACGTCGCTGTTTTTGAGTGGGGCTGCAAATAGAAAGATATTTTAGAACATCCTAAATAATGACTGAAAAAACTTCTGGAATCAGCTCTGTGCATCCCAGACAATCAATTTTGGCCGAACAATAAAGGTTACATTAAAGATTTTGTTTGTTTTCACGAAAAGAAAACAAAAAACTCCTCTCACCGCGCCGTAAGTAACTTTAAGGTGTCGAGAAATAAGTTCACCGATTGTTGTTGTGTCTAACAGTTCAACAGTCACGTGACCATAGGATGAAGAACCACTCTCAGGCCAATATTGGATGAAATGCTGCAAAATACGTTAATGTTACATTATTGTAACCAGTCAGGCATGCAGCCAGCAAAAACAATACCTTGTTTTCCTCTTGCACATTGTTAAGCATAACGATCRTACTGACGTCATAGCTGGCAACCATGATCCAGAAATCCTCAATGGTCTTTTTTAGCGGAGCTTGCGTGACAATGAATGCGTTACGCTCCTTGTAGGCCTGCAAATTATGAATAGTAATATTTCAATGTAAATGTAGTTACTAAACACTAAAATAAGGAGTTATAAAAAACACATATTAACATATACTTGCAAATCTTAAATAATTGACATTTATCCATGTATTTAATTCACTCAGACCTTTCTTTCAACTTGCAGCAAAAATTAAACAAACATGCTTATAACAAAAAACATAATTATTCAATAAATACTTACGTCAACATGTGAAGCATTTATGTAGCTTGTTGTCACATCCTCTCCGGGTTTATTGAGCAAAACTCTGCTACAATTTACTAAKMGAGAAAAAACGAAGAWAAATTAATACTACAGTCTTCTCCAGCTCTCCAATGCTTTGCCAGCACAATGCTTGCGTGTATACTATTACTAAAACTATTAGACAGTTATATTCTCAGATCTACGCTAGAGCTATCCATTTCCATCTTTATAAAACTTACAGGCGATATTGTCTTTGTCTCGGTTCTTTTTTATATTTATTGGTGACCTGCCAACGTCACGCTCTTCTTTTGCGTAATCGTATGTAGCTCGGTTCAGTTTCTACAACCGCAAATTGTGTGTAACACAAGGAATGAATATGAAATAAGTGTATGAATTAATGGAAGAAATTGATAATGGTAAAAAAAATTACAGGTTAGCGAAGCAAATAAACAAAGAGACAAACAAACAAATATTGCATAAAAAGAAGAAGAAGAAGAAGAAGAAGAAGAAGAAGAAGAAGAAGAAGAAGAAGAAGAAGAAGAAGAAGAAGAAGAAGAAGAAGAAGAACAAGAAGAAGAAGAAGAAGAAGAAGAAGAAGAAGAAGAACAAGAAGAACAAGAAGAACAAGAAGAACAAGAAGAACAAGAACAAGAAAGAAAAGCATTATCATTAGCATCAACATAAAAGAAACCTCAAACTCCAGGGCGTATCCTGTCTCGTTTCTCTTGGGGTCAGTATTTGATAGTGTTCTCATTGTGGTCTGTAGATTATAAACTGGGAATTCTGTATTACCACAGGTGAAGACTTCATGTAGAGCAAGATGTATAAACATATACTGTTCCTGAAAGATAAGCAGACAAATACGATTTTAAGATTATATAAGGAAACTCTCGGAAGATGAAGTGCAATAGGACTGTTCAACTCCACAGAAAATATATGGCGCATGCTCATTCAAAACCACTTTTTGGCACTAACGCCGGTGCTTTAGTGAGACCAGAGCAAGTGATGGATAGTTAGAGTAGCAAGTGTTCAGATTTTCTACTTCTCAGGTAATGTATGGATCTGAAGTAAACAGCTTAGTTTTTTTTCTTTAAGAAATGATGACTATCGTTTTCGTGTTTCACTTAAACAGGAGAAATCTCGATTTTCCATCTTTTACATGAGATAATGTTTTTTTTTCATTCACATTCAGCACATTATTCTATTCAATCAATCTTCCTCTTCGTTCCTAGTGGCACATAGGGCCTTAAATTATTCTATACAATAGTCATATTGTTTTAAAGTAAATCAGGCTTTCTTACCTCGGTCTGTACCATATATGGTCTGTCGTTTCTGATGGATGCAACGTAGTCTGATATTGCGACGTTTTTGAGATGTTTGGCACGCTCCAACATGGCGTCGATCACGATGTACGCACCGGTCCGACCAACACCAGCACTACCAAATAAACAGAATATTTGTCAAGTTCTTAGAATAGGAAATAATAGAATTGAAATAAATTATAAACCGCAAAATGAAAGACACGGACGAAAAGCCTCTGAAACTTCAAAAAGCTAATCAGGGGCGGATCCAAGAAGGTTGATCCCTCTATTTTTCGTGAGTATATATCTTTTTAAATATAGTATAATATCATAATTCACTTAATAATAATATTGACAACATATTGTATATTCACTTGACAAATGAGAACAACGAAACTAAGAGGCAGTTTCTATATAGCACTCAGGGGAAAAGAAATGTGCTTTGGAATGTTCAGTTCTTTTCCTTTGCTTTGAGGTTTATTTATGAAGTTCCAGTATCACGAGGACTGACCTGCAGTGAACCACCAAAGGACCAGCGTGATCTGGATTCACAGCATTTACTTGTCGACGTAAGCCTAAAACGGCTGTAGAATATTGTGGCACTCCATGATCAGGCCATGCAATGAACTGGAAATGGTTAACTTCAAGACTCTCATTGGTGTTTGACTAGTCATACGAGAATTTATTATATTAGGATTTCTGGAATATTTTGTTCAGCTGATGCGTTTCAAAGGTCCAGTTCTATCGACGAAACTCAGATATGTACAATAATCCCGTGAGTTACCTTTGTTAATAAAAGAGATCGTATGATATAATCAGGGAAAACCTCTGACTTTTGAATTGTGACCGTAATATCCCGGTGAGTTTCTTTATCTTCTGGCCAGTATTGGTGGCATTTTGCCTACAAAACAATACAATATGAAAGGTGCTTATGATACTTATATACGATGGCGATTTTAGTCTCCTTCATTCTCTTCTTCCAACCTTTGATCCCTCTTTAAGATTAGTCAGCATAACTATGGTACATGACTTCACTTCCCATATCATTTTCCAAAAATCAGCAACAGTCTGCGGTGTAGGGCCTGTGGAATGTTTATTTACGAATAATCGTTTAATTAAATGATCAAATCATCAGATTTGCATTGAAAATAAATTTTCGTCGTCAATAGTACATTGAACAATCTTATTTTGCTGAAATTGTTTCCTGGATGATTTATTCATCTTAAGTCCGTTGGATGATGATTTTATTGATTGGTATTATCAATAGATTGTTTAATGGGTATAATGCAGAAATACCTTGAGTAGCTATGTATTTCTTGGTACTTCCATCATAGCCCTGTAATAAAAAGATATAT